GTTCCTCATCATTAGCCATGGTGACTTCAGTGCAGTTCAGAAACATCTGGAGGTCACAGGTTGCCTATATGTAAAATACAAACATTAAGTTGTTTTATATTGCATTTCAATTTTGCACTTTTGTGCCAAGCAGAGAATTTGGTTCATTGGACATCACTTTCCCCAAAGCCTAGTACAGTGGTGGCTAAACTTTTTGGCACCAAGTGCCAAAATGGGAGCATGCGTGTGTGCTGGAAACCAAAAGAGCAATGGGTGACAGCGAGCATGCCCAGAGAGATGGCTCTGGGTGCCACTTCCGGCATGCATGGCATAGGTTCACCATCACGGGCCTAGTAGGATATCATTCAGCACAGGACAGCTTTACGGGATTTGGATTGACTTCTGATTTAACAGAAAAGCAAGCTGTTCTTTACTCCGGTGTTAGTATTAAAACATGTTCTTTAACTATTATCTGCCCTTTTTCTTCCAGAGGTTTTAAGAAGTTTGGTGGCATATATAGTTCTCCTTCCCTACTACAACCCTGTAAGGTTGAAGATGAAAAGTTGACCCAAGGAATTTCATAGCTAAGTAAAGATTTGTATGAAGATTTTCACAATAGTTGCCCTGACACCAATATACACAATGTCACATATATGTATTGCTAAGCTGGTAAGCTCTGGCAGTCTTTTTCCTAACTGGTGTGGCTGTCTACACAAATATAATAGTATTCCTTGTGATTAGAATATATTCATCCCTTAATCAAAATGTTTCAAACAATTTCAAGTCTCTGCCAGAATGTTTCAGTAATAATAGCAATACAGTTTCTTGATCTCTTTACAAAACTGATGAAAAAGTACTGTTGTTTTTTTAAGAGAGATGCTTGGCACTGATATCTTTTTTCAAATTATTGAATTTCATTGGCTTTTTGGCATACTTAGTTTCCTATCCAAACTGTCTTTGGTTAGTAACTCATTTTCTCCCCATCTCTCTCTCCCTTATCGATACTTCCTCAACTGTGGCAATATTCCAGCAAATTACAATAGTGCTGCGGATGTATTTGCTTGCTGCAAAGGAAGTACATGGTGCGTACAGGAAAGATATATTATTGTACAGTTTCCACCAACTGATTGTGCTAGCTTGCATCTGATTATTTCCTAGCCAGAAAAAAATATAACTGGTTATCAACAGGATAAAACAAATGTAGTTATTGGGCAGAGAAAGTTTCATAATCTGAAAAGAAAGAATCCCTTCTATTAAAAATCAGGATGGAGGCAAGGGGCATGAATAGTGCAGGAAAGGCAATTAATCATGGACCAGTAGCTATTTCTACAACTGTTTCCACACCTGGCAGGATGTCATTGCTTAGGTGTGCATGTGCATTGTGGCTGAGAAACAGCAGCATAGCACAATGACCATTTTTCTCAATTACATATTTTAGTACACAAAAATCTATTGTGTCATGTTCACATCACTGGGGAAATCATGATGGGATCCATGTAATAGGATATACATATACATATACATATACATATACATATACATATACATATACA